ACCAATGTCACTCGGAAACTTTCAATTCATGTTAGATAAAGATAACTTCAGTTTAAAAGAAATAATTATCATTAGTATACAGGTTAGAAAAATTAAATTCGTACTCTATCGAGTTTCGAACCCAGGTCCGCGAGTAAATGGCACCCATCGCCTTGCATGCACGCACCATCACATATACCGTCACGACTAAGCACATATCACCAAGAAAATGATGGCACTGAGTCGGTGTTATATAAGCTTGTGCTTAGTAGAGACACTCGCATGACGACCTAGTAAATAATATATATATATATATATATATATATATATATATATATATATATATATATATATATATATATATATATATATATATATATATATATATATATATATAATCCAGATTCCAATGAATGAAATTAAGGTATATGGTGGCGCTCTACAGTTTCATATTTAGCATAGGGTTAGAATTTTAAAGAAAAAGAGTTTCCCCGGGTTTCCTCACTAGTTATACTGGCTATTTAAAAGAGACTTTGTATATCTTTGGTATTGTTCAAAGAACCTTTAATTCCCTTTATTTTGCTGTATGATTGATGGGTGTAATATGGGTTAAAGAGTAATCGGCTTGGCCTTACTCCGGATGTGCACCTTTCAAACAAGTGCTAGCTCTACTTGCTCATTTTCACTTCTCGAACTTCAGAGGTAAATTGTAAAAAATAGAGCCGATAACTTTCTTTACATTTTATGTATTTGGTAATTCATTCATTGCACTTTTAGAAGCTGGTATTGTCTAGTTTGGCAAAATTCATTTTCCATATTTTAATAGCTGCCAAGAATAGTGTACTTTAGACAAATTCAGGTTGATTTTTGGAGCACAAGGGAGCAGTCATTTTAGTTAGCAGTGCCCTAAGATCATTTAAAATTTCCAAAAGTACAATATCCAAAGAAATTTCATCCACACTACACGAAAGTAGTATATAGGTATGCCAACATTCTCTCCACTATGCATGTTTAAAATGCAAACAACTTCAACTTACATACATCACTATCTCAAAAGTACATAATGAATGGTGAGCGCCACCTATAGGATTTTTGTATTACAAAGAATTATAAATATATACCAGACAGAACATTTATTCGCGGACCTGGGTTCGAAACTCGGTAGAGTACGAATTTAATTTCTCTAACCTGTATGATAGTATTGTTTATATTAAACTATTATTTCTGTCCACTATTATCAAGATTCTACTACAGAATCCATGGATAGCATTGTCTAAAGACTACTACGACTACTACTACTACTACTAATTTGTCCCTCTTAGTCTGGCCATGATTTCTTCATATTTCGAACTTAAAGTGTATCTGAAACATAGCGCGAGATTTGTTTCTGTTGCTAAATGAATTTTAGGTAATTTAAATAATTGTTAAAGGACTATCAAGGACTATCAAAGGCTATCAAAGATACCCCAAATATGTGATACCTCTACTGTCATGTCAACATTCAGTTGAACAACTATCTAGTCTTCAAACTTTGTCGTATATTTTAATTTTTTAATTATATGATACGTGTAATCATTACGTTTTAAGACTAATCATCCAGATAAATATTTTGCATTCGTTTGTACATTTCCGAAAGTATTTAGGCATGTCTTAGGTTTCCATTGAAGTGAACCTTATTGAAATATGTTTGAAGAGATTGACGCTACATAACCTTTATTATATTCCGAGCTGCTAATAGTTAGACGAGTATATAGCTTTAGAAATTAAGAATATCCCACGCACACCAAAACTTTTTTCCGGATGCATTTAAGATATGGATAGAACCAATTTATACTCTCTATGGCAATAAAGAGCATTTCATCATAACTAATCTTACAGTTATCCCCAGCCGGGAATGAATATTTAAAATTCAGTATATTGGCTCTACTGAACCAGCCGGGAATGAATATTTAAAATTCAGTATATTGGCTCTACTGAACCAGCCGGGAATGAATATTTAAAATTCAGTATATTGGCTCTACTGAACCAGTCGGGAATGAATATTTAAAATTCAGTATATTGGCTCTACTGAACCAGTCGGGAATGAATATTTAAAATTCAGTATATTGGCTCTACTGAATACTTTGTTCATGAATGCTTTGTACGACAGTACATTTAAAAGAACTAATAAAATCATTTTTTAAGAAATAGCTGATCTTAAAAATCCTAATACGCTTTTGTTTTCCAACATCTTACAGGCTGGGTATAACTTCTGAGTATGCCTATCGATACACATCAAGAATTTGTGTCTTATTTAAGAATGGTGTCCTCATTGTTTGCACAACCAATTAACCACCCGGGTTAACACTTAGGCTAACGGTAATATTTAGATTACAGATCCGGTCGTTTCAGCGCCGAGAGCAGGCTTTTCATAACATTATCAATATTCGGAATAATTTCTAACAACTGTGTTAGGGAGACATGGAAACCTCAAAACCTTGTAGAGAAAGGAAAACTGCTAAAATATCCACAAATTTCATGTTCTATAGCTATTCATTTGGTTTACCGTTAGGATGGCCATGCGTATAATAAGACCTAAGCGATATTTGCTATGCATGTGGTAGATGATTCCAAAACTTACAGTGCACATAAATTTGGTGTAAAACTAATATGAGTATATTTGTACATATTTTATTAAATTTAACGATATCATTTTTCATTTTAATTTTTTATGATATCTTATCTGGAGGAAACGCGTGTGCGATAGACGCTTATTGTAAATGAGAATATCCGTATATGAATTAGCCAGATGTCTTAGCTATTAAGCCATTGATGGTGTCTATGAGACATAAGATGAATGGGAGCAGACTACAAGAACTTTTAAGCATTCAACTTTGTCCTAAAAATATGCTATATAAATTACTCGGTGTAGAATGATTATTTTTTTTGGCAATGACTAAGAAAGAATCTTAATCAGTTTGCATTGTTATTTTGATCCATTTTCATCGCGTATAATAACACTACAATAAATAGATTTTTTTAACTCTTGATATAAACCCAACTTTACATTTGTAGAAAACGTCCAAAGATGACCCAGGTAATGAACACGACAGTCATCATCAACCAACCTATGGTCCAGAATCAACGATTACTGATTGGGACCAAAGGAGGGACAAGGGACTGGACGACGGGACTCTTTGGATGTTTCGAGGACTGCGGTTCGTGTAAGTTTTTGAATGATGTTGAAAGAAGAGCGATGAGTTTGAAGATGTTAGGAAGACAATACTTGTCGTATTACTGTGAAATGATATTTGCCAGCAGGGAATTTGCGTAGCCACAAAAGCGAATTTCAGTGACAATGAAACCACACAAACTTTTTAAATTTTTTCAGCACAAAATATCTATTCCCATTCAACGAAACGTTTTTAGACCGTTACTAAAATAGAACTAAAATTCTCCACGGATTTAAGCAACTTAGAATATAAAAAATTTAGGACTCCTGCAGAAATCAACGTTCTTCCAGTCTTAACAACCGCATTACACTTCTGAGCGTGTTACAATGTTTCCACCAAAAAACCCCACAAAAAACAACAAATTTTGTCAGCATAGCTTAAACGCACAAACACAGTATTGACATTGAAAACAACGATATTTTGAAAAGCAATGAACATTCTCCATGGAGGCTAACAAAAAGATGACGTGATCAGTTTAAATCGTAGCAATAAATATTAACCAATTAGACAACCTCTTAACAACAAGATTTTATAGTAGTTTACTAACCATTTAATATTGTTTTTCATTCCAATAACAGTACATGAAAAAGTATCTCCAATGATGAAATGTTGATATATCCGTTTTGATAATAGACAACAGTAAAATCAATGTATGCTCTAAGACAGAAGTCTCATTCCATTATCAAAACCAGCAATTGCTTAGGATATAAACTACACTTAGGGCGATACATGTTTAGGAAATGAATAATTAAAACCTAGGAAACATTGATTTTGCTGATGTTTTGTGCCCAACGAAAAAATAGATTCCATAAATAATATATCACAATAGTGGGTTTGCCAGACGTATTAAAAAGCTAAGAATTATTCAAAGCATAAGTAACATAACAGTGACAACAAAAACAAGTAGCTGTTAGGGATGTGTACAGAAGGTTGTGAAAGGTGAATATTAAAGTCGGATCATTAAAGATATTGGCAATGTTTGAATCGTATGCAAATGTGAAAGTTTCGTATATAATTGCTCTTTAATCCCATTAAAAACTTTGATGCACAAAACCCATATTAAAATGTAGTGTTAAAAATAGGGGTGCAGAGGGCAATCAACCATGACATGTAACCCACCCCTAACAAAACTTGTATGTCACCGATTTTAAATAGATCATCTGGTTAAAACACAACCCGCTCCCCGAGACTAGCACGATTACATATCGTATAGAATAGCTTTTAATGCAACACCCTCACCCACCCCCAATGTACACAGAATTCCAGTGGCAGAACATTTTTCCCATGGCTATATTTTTTGTGATATTATGTCAAATGCAGTTGCGCACAGTCGTAAATGGAGTTCCGAAACAAGGAAAGAAAAGGAATCATATGGGAGACGCCGTCAAAGAACAGCAAAGGGGTACGCTTTGCAAGAATAGAAAAGGATCCATATGGGATATGCCGTCAAAGAACTGCAAAGGAATCATATGCAAAATGCCGTCAAAGAACGGCAAATGAATCATATGGGATATGTCGTCAAAGAATAGACAAGGATCCATATGGGATATGTCGTCAAAGAATAGAAAAGGATCCATATGGGATATGCAGTCAAAGAACTGCAAAGGAATCATGCAAAATGCCGTCAAAGAACAGAAAAGGAATCATGTGATATGACGTCAAAGAGCATCAAGGAATCATATGGATATTCTGTCAAACAAACAAAAAAAAATGAATCATATAGGATATGCCATCAAAGAACAACAAATAAATCATAAGACGTCAAAGAATAACAAAGGAATCATATGGGAAATGCGGTCAAAGAACGACTGTTCCGTTGTTCTACTGGTTTTATCGTCCGCCTCGGATGCGGGAGGTCGCGGGTTCGAACCCCGGCTGAGTAATACCAAGACTTTAAAAATTGGTACTATGCCTCTCTTGGCGCTCAGCATTAAGAAAAGGTTAGTATTAGGACTGGTCGGCGTGGTGTCGGGAGTGGGACATCATGACATATGTCTGGGGATTATGCCCTAGTGCTAGACATCACTATAAACTGTCACACTAAAGAGATCGTAGCGATATGACTGAAACATTGTTAAAGCTACGTTAAAAATCTAAATCACACACACATAAACTAACACCCACACGCACGCACACACACACACAAACACACACACACCGTCAAAGAACAGCAAAGGAATCATATGGGATATGGCGTGAAAAACAGCAAAATAATCGTGTGGGATTTGCCGTCAAAGAGCCCGAATCATGCAGCTTCAGCAAAGAGGACACCAAAATCCAGTTAAAGCTCATATTTTTCATAAGATAAATAAATAAATACATAAATAAAAATAAATAAAAATCGTTCCTTTAGCTCAGTATTCATTATGTTACGTATAATTGCTTCTATTGTTCATTTGGTAGGTATATTAGTGTTGTGGCTATTATTTTCATTGTAGAAATACGAATTGTCTGTGATATAATTCAAGCCTACACCACTTTATATTATGAAAACAGTGCTTGTGCACGGTTTTGTGGCTCATTGCCAGCTACTCTGCCATTTTATTACGGAAGTTCAAATGCATAATTCAATATATCTCAAATTTTTAAACAAAACTGTTATCAAGACATACAATTATGTAAAGTTTCTAAAATTCGGCGAAATCATTTGTATTTATTTTATGTCTTGTTTGTCTTTGTTTTGTAAGTAATAAATACTAAACTACATAGACTAATAAAAAAACAGATTTCGCACTGTTTGTTATCAGTTTTGTTTATATTCATCTTTATCACTCCATTATTCCTTCTAATGCCCTAAAATGGTACGTAATTCGCTACATGATGCGTATTTATTATTATTATTATTATTATTATTATTATTATTATTATTATTATTATTATTATTTCGTTGTATGTTGTTGTATGTTGTTATTATTACATGCATTGTATTGGATTATCATAATTTTACTGTTTTAAGTCAATGTTCATAAGGACTCCTAAAGTATGTTAAATGCTCAATGTCATTTCAGTGCTCAAGACATGTTGTTGTCTACAGTTTACGATACTGGAACTGTCCACTCGACTTGGAGACTGCGCATGCATGCCTTGTTTTGTCCCAGAAGCCCTTCTTGCCATGAGAACCCGAACTAGGACTCTAGGAGATATTCATGTGAGTTTCTACTTAAACCTTCCTTAGTTACACTATGATTAATGCAATGCACTTAATGCAATACAATTTTAAATAAGAACGCGCGAGAGTGGATTTTTAACGCAGCTTTAAAACAATTTATTCTTATCCCTACAATGTCTTCAGTGTAGCAGTTTATTCTGATGTATAGCACTTGTGCATCATACTGCAGACATGTAGCATTATGTCTCAGCAGTCACATCATCCTGTCACCAGACCGACCAGTCCTTAAACTAACCTCTTACTGCTGAGCGCCTAGCCATGCTGCTGCTCATACAAGTGTAATGTCTCTGGTATGACTCCCCCTACGATACCTTACCAATGGACAGACATCATTTTCATCATCATCATCATCATCATCCCGTAACACGAGGTCGTTTGAACACCACAGATGATTTCACTGTCAATTCTCTCCATCTTTCCCTGTTCTCCACTGTCCGTTAGGAATCTCCAAATCATGTGCCTTTTTAATGTTATCTTCCCACCTCTTTGTCTGCCTCTTCTTCTGTACCCTCTCACTTTGCCGTGCAAGACTGTTTTTGCCAGTGGAGATGATCTCGACACTTCAGTTTTTTTCTTTTGAGTGATCAGGAAGTTTTCCTAGTGTCCGATGGTTCATTCTATCCTAATGTGGACCTCTTTATTGGTAAAGTGGTAAATATATGGGATGTCCAAGACGTTGAGGTAGCATTTCATTTCGAAGATTTGAATCTCCTTTGTAGATCTTCTGGATAGGACAATAGAACTCAGCTATATTTTAGAATCAAGATAAATGTTGATACCCTTCCATATTGGTCTCAATCGTGTTTGTATTGTTGTTTGGGCAATCCTGGAAAGTAATTCTTGGGATAATTTGATTATTTATCCCAAGTATTTGAAACTTGTAAATGTTTCCAGCTTCTGTCCACTGGCCTTTATCTTAGCAATGATGCCATTAGTGGTGCATGTCATTAGTTTGGTATTTCGGCGCGAATCTCCATATTGTATGATATAGAGGTTGTGTCGCGGTGTTCCGTCAAATCAGCCAGTTCTTGTTCATCTGCCAAGCCGTCAATATCATTGTGAAGCGCAGTTGGCGATTGTTTTTCCTCCAAAACATATACCCTACAGTTTAAACCGGTATGAAATCTTTTTTTCTATTTTTATTTTTCTATTATCCCCATAACAGGTTAACCACAGGGTCGGGAAATCACCTCAAGGTCATCTTACAATCAAACATTTCTGGTTATCAGATAAACAAGGGATAATAAATATAATCTACAGGAAAACAAAACAGACACACGTATGCACAAATGTATATGTCACACAATCTCTTTAGATACACAATTTAAATAAATGAATATATGTATACAGCATCTAATTGACATAGCCTTTGTTTTGTTCGTGTTTACCGTCAAATCAGATACAAGTGACATTTATCTGTAAAGGTCCATTTTTGAAGAAATTGGTACTTTTTGTTTACCTTAGCAGTGTATTTTTCAATGTTCTTATGCATTGCAACTATCTGCTTAAAAGCATGAATGGAAAAATTTTGCATATTGAATTTGCAAATATAAATATAATATTTTGCCAAAATAATCAAGAAATTACACAAACTGTCTAGTTGTTCACTTCCTAAAAGTGGTTTTTTTTTTTTTTTTTTTTTTTTTTTTTTTTTTTTTTTTTTTACAAATGTACAATATTTGGGCAAGATGATGCAAAATGTTCAATAAAACTGTACCAGAACTGTGAAGTAATATTGCAATCATAGAAGAGATTTCAAAACGTTCATAATCATTCTTACAGAACATACACATTTGTTTTCTAATATGTTAATTCTCGTCAAAAAATCGTTTGCAGCGATTCTTCTAAGGATTAATTTAAAGTTAAAATAGATCAATTTGGTATCCTTTGTACAACATTAATCCCAGCTAAAAATCTCAGACCACTTCTCACTACTTATATTTTTATTTAATACTTGCATACAAGTTTCGTCCTTAGTAGTGTGTTGCCATGTAGCCTTTTTTCTAAAAAGATCCTTGTAAACAAACTTGAGTGAATTATGTTTTTGCAAGTACATTATTTTATCCTCCTGCTTATCATAATTATTAGGTGCGAAATGTTTTTGTGGCATCTTTCGTGTTTTTGGAATTTTAGATATTAAGGAGAAGTATTTCTAGAAGTCGTCTCTTCTGGTTTTTTGCTTTATCATTTCAGAAGGTATTAAATTACCGTGATCATCTACTAGATCATTAAAATTTCAAAACCGGCTTCTCCCCAGGATTTGTATTGATAAAACATTCTAGGGGTAAAAAAAAATTAAACATACTCAGGTTTATATACTCGTTTGGACTTTGCGGTTCTTCTTGCCAATTAGATACTGCCAAAAAATGACCTCTCCAAAAACTATTTTAATGAGGTTGATAATTATTTTTTAAGTTTCCTTCTCCATAAATTCCAAATATCCTTTTCATTTCTGAGTATAGTTGTATTGAATTAGTTCTGCCACGCTCCATTTTAATTTTCCAGCAATCATTTTACCCATCTTATCTCATTATACCTAATACATAAAAATATATGTATCATATTTAGTCATCCTTCGTTCTCAGGGGTTATTAGTATATCACGTTTAATTCTCTCCGCTTTTCCACCCCATACAAATTGAAATAATGTACGATTTAGTTCTCCTTCAATTCTTGCTGATGGATGTGGAAGTGCTGAAAAAAGATGAATAAATATGGCAGAACAAGAGCTTTTACAACAATTACCTTACCAACTCAACAGATGTCTTTGACCCCAGCTTGCCGGTATTCGGTTTGCCTTTGTTAATTTCTTCATGTAATTAACTTCTACCATTTGTTGTAAATCTGGAAAAAGATCTATGCTAAAGATTGTAAAATTAGAAGAGGACAAAATTAGACTATATCGGGACACGTTATTTGATAGAAAATTTCTTGTTCTAATCCAAATAGCCTTTGTTTTGGTTATGTTACATTTAAAGTCCAGATAATAGAAGAAAAAAAAAACTTTCAAGATATCCATAGTCATTTTAAGATAAAGTTGAGATCAATCAAGAAGAATAAAAGCGTCATCGGCATACTGATCCACTTAATATTCACTGACATCAAAGATCATTCCCCGTACATCCACATTTTGCTTTAAATTTGTATCTAAATCACAACCCCGATGAAAATCAATAAGGTGCAAAGGGGATCACCTTGAAGACATCAAATTTCAAGTCTAAAAAAAATTATATATGTCCATTATTTTTAATACAACTTTCAGTCATTACAAACAGTTTAAACCATTTACAAACAGAATCGCCAAAGTTCAAATAATGCAAAGCTTCTTCCAAAAAGGTCCATTTAATTGAGGCAAAGGCTTTTGAAATTAGTTTATAAACAATAACAAATCATATTTATTTTCGTTCTCAAGTTTGACTCGTGATATTGTGTAATAGCCTGATATTTTCTCCAATGAATCTACACTTCATAAATCCTTTTTGAATATCACTAATTATTGATTCAATAATCATTTTTAATCCTAGCTGCATTGGTTCCTGAAGCAATCTGATGGTCAGTATTTAAAAGTGATATAGGTCTCCAATTTTTAAAACATCTGTCTTTTTCTTCATTTGGTTGACATGTTATGACTCATTGAGTCTAAAAATCTGAGTTTTCCTACATTGTATCCCTATTATAGTATATAGGCAGTGTATGATATTGTCCTTTCAGATTA